AGCTCACTACTCTATAATTCAAATGTCATATTTAGTACAGCCAGTACAGCATCACAGTCAAAATCAGTTGATCAATCAATCTCACCAAGAAAAATTCACCCAGCCGTTAACATTCAGTCACTGACTTAGAGGTTATCCATCATGGATGCAGATGGTGACAGTGGAAAGGAAGCAGAAAGAAACCTGCAGCATAAACAGTCTTAGGCTGAGTGGCTTGTAGCTGAGAGAAAGACAAGTAGTCATAGAAAATAAATGCATTGACTTTGGGGCAAAAGAGCTTTCCTTTGTGAAATGGATAAAGAGTACACAGTCAGTAGCAGCAACTGCACTAGCAATTGGCTCTACCCAGAGTAGAGACAAAGCTAAGTGTTAGAGATTTTTTGGTATTATCATTTTGTTATTACTTTAGTTCAGTGTTTTTCAACCACTGTTCCGCGGCACACTAGTGTGCCGTGAGTGATCGTCAGGTGTGCCGTGGAAATTATTCAATTTCACCTACGGTACCGTATTTTCCGGACTATAAGCTGCTACTTTTTTCCTAAACTTTGAACCATGCTGTTCAAAAACGGTGTGGCTTTTCTGTGTATTTTTCTTCAACCACCAGGGGGCTCTCTAGCAGGGAGTGAATCATTAGTAGTCAAAATTGTAAATCGAAGAAGAACGCGTTAATTTTCATTTAGAACACCCACGTGCTAGCAGCAGGCACGACGGAGAAATGTTTTCAAACTCGTATGGTGCAGCTTTTAAGTTGAGGGCTGTCGATCTGCCACTACAGGAGGGAAATAGAGCAGCTGCACTTCAGCTCGGCGTGAACGAAACCATGGTTAGTAGTGGCTAGCGGCGTAATTATGTAATTTTCTTAACACTAGATGGCAGTAGGTACAGAGCATTTTACATTAAAACGAGAATTAGTGAGCCATGAATGTTACAGGTAGCGGTGAGAGCATCGTACCTAGTAAGACTGTGACAGCAGTGATGGAAAAGACAGTGAAGCTCAGCAGTAGTTAGAAAGAACATGGGTCCATTTCCCACAACATAACTGTGTGAAGTGAGCTTCTCAAGCCTGGCTACTATAAAAACTGAAACCAGAGACTGAGAGCTGTTGAGGAAGAGCTTTGTCTTTCTTCAATTTCTGCCAGGAAATCAGCTGTTTTCATCCAAACATGCACAGGTTTCACAGTAGGTGGGTAAAATATACAGATATTGACATTTTGTACATGCAAATCTTCATATTGTAACAGTGACATCTTTCCCAAATATTATTGCTTCTTTCAGAATAAGAATCATTTTCTGTATTCTGGCTATAAGAATGCTTATGGATTAGTTTGTAAAACACTTTGAAGTTTTCTACAACTTCTTTAAATTTAAGACCACATTGTTGTGGCACTGTTCAGGTGTGACATGTTATGTGCAATTTGAAATAAGAAATGTAAAATGTGATAAAGATACATTTTTGTGTTTATTTGATTCCTATTCAAGACACTTTGATAAGAATGACTATATATGTAGTATAGGCGGCTACAGAGTATATTGGTTTACATTTTTGGTTGGTGGTGTGCCGCTTGATTTTTTTCAATTAAAAAAGTTACCTTGGCTCAAAAGAGGTTGAAAAACACTGCTTTAGTTCATATTCAGTCTAATGTTAATCAACATTCAGTCTATAGATTATTAAAGTGTTCTCTTCCTTCTGTGTGCATAAATTGACCTGGAGGCCTCATCTTTTGTTTGTCTTCATGTGAAACAGTTAACTGTGTGTTTCCCAGATCTTAAATTATGTTTCCACAGGTGCCTCCTTATCAACCAGAATACTCCCTACCTTAGGAACTGCCTGTGTGCAGTAATATTTTGTCTCTGCTGTCTTCCTTACCTATCCTCCCTCTTTTTGTTTGATAATAAAAGACAAGCTGCAACCAAAGGTCTTTAGGACGCTCGGTGAACGGCTTGGAGGAGCAGTTTGCTGAGTCTTTTCCTTTTGCAAAAGCTTGGTCAGAAAACTCCTATACGTTGTCTGTGGTTCTTTTATGTAGGTTCGAGAAAAATACCTATCACTAAGTATGGAGCCACTCAGCCAGATATGTTACCTATGGCGAAGAAAAACAAAGAAAACACATTTTATTAGATTTCTCGTTGACTCTGTCCAGGAAAAATACGCATAAAGCACAGAGAGCCTGAGGGAGGTACAATTTCTATGGGAAAGAAATACCAACGTTAACAACAACAATAATGATGATGATGGTAGCTTTTACTGCTTCAAATTTTTAACACGTTCTATGTATTTTTAGTTGACTTGGTTGAAAAATAAAAGCAAAATGTGTTTGCAAGTGGAATCTATGGACACATTTGCTTTTGTTTCCATCATCTCATGGTGCAGACGCTAATAGGACATGATCTAAATCTATGTGTCTGCTTCTGGAAGAGCAGGAAGTGAGAACCAAATAAAACAGGTGAAGACACACACCTACACACACGATTAAACTGTAGCGATGAGAACTCGAGGCACTTTTGAGGAAGCAAAACTCAGGTGTTAACTGTCGTTTCTGCTCCATTTCTCTAAATGTCCTTTGTTCTCTGAAATTTTTTTTTTTTAGGAAAAACGTATTTTGGGCATTTTTTGTAGTGTTTAAAATTATATTAAGGTATGTACATGCATCTCTTTATTTCCTTTGAAAATGGACATAAATAAAGCTAACTCTTTTCAGCGTATTACTGGTCTGTTTCCTTCACACGTGGCACTTTCGCTGTTTTATTTTCTGAAAACTAATGAGACGTATTCATTTAGTTGACTGCTAAAACTGACAAGATGTGTCAAAGATAATGGACGGACAAAGCAAACTAAAATGGGACCAAGCGGGTGGAGGATGAAGACGTGTTCACACTGCGCGCTGCATAAAACAGGACAGAGACAGGAAACTGAGCCAGTGGTGTTTGTGTCAAGGTTATTCAGGTTGTTGTAGTTCATTGGTAATTTAGGCGTCATACAGTTGACATCATTGCACCTTTCAAAGCGTTCCGACGCACTTCTCAATTACAACATAACTAACGGCATCTATATATCTGTCATTTCATTTAAAAGGGCTAAAGGCTGTTCCTGCTTCCAGTGATTCCTGGAATCATTGGGTAATCTCACAGAACGTTGAAGCAGTCTTGGTTTAATAGATAGATAGAATTTTGTCGCTAAGGGTTGAGTTTATAGGATGAAATAGACCCTGGAGGAATTGATGCTTTTAAGATGTGTCAAATGTTTCTGAGTCATTCCCATTTGGAAAACCAAATTTATGCTCTCAGGAATGTGGAAGAGAACAAGTGAAAAATATTGAAGTAATGTAACTTCAGAAATCCCCAACAATTACGGCTGCCAATCCCCAGTGACAAGTGTAATAGAACAATTATAACCACTACAGGGCAGACGCACAAGTGGATTCGTGGGTGCTAAATGTTTCCAAAAATGAGCAGCATGAGATTCTCGTGCTGAAAATAGATGGAGTGACAGATCTGCGCCAGACCTTGGTCCCCTAAACAACCGGTTTCTTTCTGCAGTGTTTTGCTCTCAATTAAAAAAAGAATTTGTGCAACAAATCCAGGAATCCAGTGGCAAAGAAGTGGGAGCAAAACAATTATATATATATATATATATATATATATATATATATATATATATATATATATATATATATATATATATATAAAAGTAGAGACAATTGAAAAAAAAATTACACTTTGAAGTGCTTTGGAGTTATAAAAATCTGTACTCCATTACAGCACCAGTAGAGAAGAAGCATTTTACTACTGATGAGATGATGAGGTGCAGCAGAGAAGACAAGTAGAGCACCTTTGCTGCAGCCAAACTTAAGGACAGACAGACAGACAGCTGCCTTTGGTGCAGGCCGTGTGGCCTGCACGCACTCTGTGAGCCGCTTGGAGATGTCAGCTGATAAAAGTGAGGGCTTTTGGTCTTTGCAAATTGATTTTGCAAAGATAAGACACAGACACAGTGAAGTCACGGTGGAACCGTTTCGTCAGTACTCAGCTCTCAAAGCGACCAGTTCTCCTCAGTTAGACCATGTAGTGTTCCGGTCGTCATGTGGGTGACCTACAGCGTCGGAGAGTGAGTACAGAGAAACGTCACAAAAATGTGACAAATGCGATCGGTTTTTTTGCGCTTCACTTTGAATAACGACGTTCTGTTTTCTTTAGATTGTGAGAAATTTACATGCGTCCAAACTGAACCTCGTCACAGAGACAGTGGAGCCTTTTAGGAGTTGCTCATGTTTATGTTTGACATGCGGACAAATGACATAAGTTTGTCTCTGACAGCCAAAACAAAAAGTCCCGATTCAAATTTAGGCGTCAGTGCTGGTTGATTTAGCATTTCAATCTTCCCAGGTTTTAACGAAGACTCAGTAAGTTACAAAGGAATTCTGATCTTCGGTTCTTTGATTCGTTTCTTTTTAATTGTTACAAAAAACATAATAAAATAGATGCCTTAAGGAGAAAAATGCCATTTTCTTGAAGTGAACTCAGAGGATCCTTTTTACTACAGTGTGTACTTGCATTCAGCTTTACTTCGATGCCTTGACATATAATCCTGCACGATCATTTGCTTTCAGAACTCCCAAGAAAGTAGAATCAACATGTGATTTTTTTTTTCTTTTTGAATATATGCAACTATCAACACAGTGGCAGCATCATAGTGTGGGAAGCTTTTTCTTTTTTCTTTTATCAGGGACAGGGTAGCAGGCTAGCATTATTAGGAAAATGAATTCAGCCAAATAAAGGGGAAAAACTTTGAAAAAGTTGTCCAGAACTTCAGGCTCATCCAGGGTTTAACCTTTGGGCAAGATCACAACCCTAAACATGTAGCTGGAGCTGCAGCAGAATGGCTTATGTCAAAGTTTGTTCATGTGCTGATCTGATCTGACTGGCCTTGAGTTATTTTGCAAGGAAGAAGTCAGGAAAATGTCAGTCTGCAGACGTGAGAAGCTCTATAGAGACACAGACCTGCAGCTGAAATTGCAGCGAATGTTTCCAGAAACTGATGGCTGAGGGTGGCTGAGCATAAAGACGCAATACTTTAAAGAATTTCATTTGTAGAAAAGTAAATCTCGAAAACCATGCAAGTTTTCCTTTCACTCAATGTGTTACTCTAATGCATACAACATATTACAACATTGACAAAATGCAAAAAGGCCAATGGCTTTGAAAACAGGAAAAGCGCCGTGTTATTTTGTTTAAGCCTCACAAACAAACACTGTCTTTGTAGCGACAGAACAAATATGCCCTTTTCCTCGAGTAATTTTCCTTATATTTGCATTGTTGCACGCAGGTTGAGCCACCTCTACACCTTCTTTGTGGAATGGTCACCAGAAAACCACCTAACTGGCAGAAAGAAGAGCTACACCCGGAAAGAGCAGCAGGACAGCTGTCGTCCTGCAGCGGACAACGTCTTTGCTGTCATCAGTAAACTCTTCAGGGACCCCGTCAACAAGCTCAAAACCGCAAAACTCTGGAAGGTACGATTTAATCTAGGTTCGGTGTACTTCTCCAAAATCCTCATGCGTTTCTTGAGAAAACCTGACCTCCCCTCCCTTTTACTGTAACTTGAAGAAGCCTGGAGCCTGGGTGTTGTTCCTGGCATTGTGGGAAATGCCTCATTCCTTATATGGACATCCCATGTATTCCCTCTCTCCAAATCCCAGAAGCAGGCGTAGCCTTCCCGTCAGGACTAAAATCAACGAGCATTTGCTGAACACACCAGGGAGCTTGAGTTCCCCACTAATGAAAGTGAAAGGGTCCCATTTTTTTAAAGAAATTGTTGACAGGTGCTTTTAGAAGGCATACAGCACATGCGGAGCGACAGAGTTCAGGATAACACAGAGGAATAAAGAGTTATCAGGAAAAGGAAGGGAAATATGTGCATGCTTTACGCTGTCAGTGACTGTGTGGAGCTGCATGTGGAAGTGAGATTAACTTTATTTGCTCAAGGGAGTGGGAATCATTACGAAACAGACTTTGCACAGTTCGCTTCAAAGACATAGAGATGACATTTCAAAAGCAAAATGAGCGCATACAAGAACAGACACAAGTAAGAAGGAAAAAAGAAAAAGAAAAAGAAGTTACATTTATTTTTTAGCAACTTGTTGCATCCTTCTGCATCCCCGTCGCAGATCATCACAGCGGTGGGATCAAAGCGCAGCTTGAGTTTGTGCAGCTCGGTGCGGCCCGAGCTGGAGAGCGATGAGGCCCTGGAGCCTGAACACACACTGCCTGTCCTGAAACGCCACAGCCAGCTGCTGGGTGGATGAATGTCACCTGCTCAAGGTAAACCCAGTGCTCCTGTTAGAGAGGCGGGCCCCCAGTGAGACGTCCAAGGGTGTTATCTTGTCAGGAACTGACGGTTTCCCCACAGCTTGCTTCTCACATGCCCCCAAAGACCCAGGGGGTATCCATGGCAACTGGTGCACAGCACCACCATCCACGGGACAAGCCTGCAGACGCTCTACAGGAACACGGCTAACCTGGACAGCCCCGTCCTGCTGCTCGTCAAAGACATGTTCAAAAAGGTTTGCGTCTGGGTCTCGCAGGTTGCCAACAAGCCAAAACATCAACTAACAAACTGATGTCGTTGTTTTCAGGTGTTTGGGGCCTTTTGTTCAGATCCGTTCAGAGTCAGTAAATATTTCTACGACGCAGGAGAGACCTTCTTGTTCAGCTTCGGTCCTGATTTCCAGGTGGGAGGTTTTGGGGGGGTTTTATTTTCAGAGACGTCTCTGAATGTAGCATTAGTAATGATTAAAGTTCACACTTTCAACAGTCATTCTTAACACGAACCTGTTAGAGAAACATAAATATATGAGGCTAATCCTACTAATTGGATTGACACATAGATTCTTTTATCGATGTAAGCCAAAGGTTGAAGAAGGACATAACAAAAACAGTTCAAAGCTAAAAATGTTAATATCTTTTATTTGTGTTTTCTTCAGCAATACAGGTGGAGCGGAGAGAACTCCTACTTTGTGAGCAGCAGCTGGGAATCTCTGCAGATTGGTGGAGGAGGGGTAGGCTCAGTTCCTCTTTGGGTCTCCAGCTGGCAAATCTTAATAAATGTGTTGCAATATATTTCAAAAATTCTTCTTCTAAATGTTTATGTTTTCTCTCTTTTTTAGGGGCGGATTTGCCCTCTGGTTGGACGCAGATTTGTACCGTGGTGGGAGCATCTCCTGTCCCACCGTCCACAACGCTCCTCTGTCCACGCACGAGGACTTCACTGTTCTGGACGTTGAAGTTTGGACCGTGCACAGCTGAATTGCAACGTCAAGCAAACGAGGTTTCTTCTCTGAGGCTGCGACGCCTCGAAACCCAACCAGAGTGGAGCATCAGCTCTCTCCACTGCACCTGCATGAGAGCATCCCACATGCTGCACAACGTCTATGAGACAGGTTCTGCAGACTGGTTCTGCGAGTTTTGCATTCTGGTCGGTTGAAATGCGACTCCTGGAGACAAGAGGGAACACGAAGAGCTCATTGTGAAGCTGGTGAAGGAGCCGTTAAAAGCTTTGTCCTGCCAGCTTTGATTGTGTCGAGATGTCTTGTGAAAAAGTCTTTCAGTGTTTTATATTCCTTTTTACTTTATGGGAATGACTTCATTACTCGTAGGTTTAAAATACACTTACAGGGGGAACAGTTGCCCGTATTTGCTTGTGTTCGTAAGTGAAATAAATTATTTTATGGTGCAGACACTGTAATAGGAGAAGACCTTAATCTATGCATCTTAAGCAACTGCAGAGGCTGGGGAACCAGAAAAAAAAAAAAACACACACACGCAATCAAACTGTAATGATAAGAGCCTGAGGCATTTATGAGAAAACAAAACTTACGAGTTAACGGCCACTGCTCTTCTCTTAAATGCTCTTTGTTCATGCAAGGATTCCTTTAAGGGAAATATGTATTTTGCACATTTTTGCGATGTTTTAATATTTAAATATATGAATATATCAATTTTTTTTAAATGCTCTTAAGCACGCAAGTTCTTTTGAGTGTGTTTCTGGTTGGTTTTACTTGAATGTTTGCATGTCTGATGAGGTGGTGCTCACACTGTCACTGTTAAATTTTAAATAAATGAAACATCTTCTATTTACTGTTAAGGCTAAGTGAATCATTGGCTTTTTTTTTTTACCATCATACCTCAACTAAAACAATACAACATAGAAGTTGTGATGCGCATCACTGCAGCTTTGAACTGCCAAAGTGTAATGGACAGAGGACGCAAATTAAAATGGAACCAAAAGACAGAATGTCACTTATATTTGCAAGTTTGCACTGCAGATTTTATAAAGCAGGACAGAAACCTGTAGCAGGGTGTGTGTTTGTGTCCCGTTGAGCTCAGATGTTTGGGCAAGAGAACTCTGCATCTGGAATCAACTTTGGGGTCTGAATATGAAAAAAATGTAGTGATAAAAACTTATTTTTTTTTTTACATTTTTTTCAGCCAATTATTATGCAAAAAGGATCTGTTTCTCAAAGCTAATTTGCTTGTACATAAGCCCCCCCTGCTGGTCAAAGGCGGTTTAGCATCACAATTTCTTTGTAAAACTCTCCTTTGTTTCTAAAATAAATCATTCCACTCAGAAATGTTTGCAACATTTCAGCCAAGGAAATAATAATAATAATAATAATAATAATAATAATAATAATAATAATAACAGCTCAGTTAAGGAAATCATATCATATTTCAGAATGCACCGCATGCTTTCTTTTCACATTTTAAACTTATAGTTTCTATTTTTTGTGTGTAAAATGAGTATGTAACATGACCAACCAATAATATCCGGCAAATAAATTTCAAATTTTATTTTATTTGTTTTGAAAAAAGACATTAGGGTTAGTTCTATGTAGAAACATAATATTGTTTTGGTTGTGCTCTAGTTAGGAGGAACTACCTTATTGGGAAAGATCATAGGGTTTCTGATAGTTTCAGTGAGTAACATTCAAGAATCCTTAAGGCAATTAAAGATTGTAGACTTAGATAAATTATACAAGATAAATGAAGGAGTCTCTGTTAAGCTTTTAAAAAGCTATTGGATTTTAGTTTGCCTCTAAAACCCATGGATGAGCAAATGTAACACAATGCAAGAAATAAATTAAAGTGCACGATCACTCATACAGTAGTTATTGGTTTATTTAAGACTTTTACTTTTACAGCCCTAAATGGAGATAATTAAAATATACTTTTATTTGTTTTAAGACCATGCAGAAAAACCCTGAACCACATCAAAATGTTACCACTGAGACAATTAACTTCCCAAAATGCACCTATGATCAAGTTTTCCACTCTGACCCGCTGCTTTTGTGAGCGAATCCACAATAAACAACTGTCTGTTCATAAATCACGCCAGAACTCGAACATCTCCATGAATCAAGCGAGGTTAATGTTAAGTCATCAATGATGTTGCCCTCAGAAAATGAAAGACAAGACTTGACAGATGCATCATTTATTGCTTTCAAGGAGTGTCCCTCTATTTTTTTCTCTTTATTTGCCTTCTTGTCTGTTCTGGCAGGAACACTCCGGGGTTTGTTCATCCATCCTTTGTCTATTCCCGGTTGTCCGGGTTGCCAGTTCATCACAAGGAAACTCTGGACAAAACAGTGGATGCACAGAGTAACCAGCTGATCTAACGGTCATGTTTTTGTAGTGTATGAGGAAACTGGACGAGAAGCTAGAAATACACAGAGGAACGTGCAACTTTATGAAGAAGTTGCAAGTTCTTCACGAAGAACATGCAGCTTCTTCATGCATGTTCTTCATGCGTGAAGGATTTGAACTCAGAAGCTTCCGGCTGCAAGGCAACACTGTGAGCAACCCGTCCACCGTGGAGCAACTTCGGGGTTTTATTTCTCCCGTTAAACACTAAATATACAACAACGCAACAATGTGGGAAAGCAGGGATATCCTGTTTCAGTCCTCGAGCCTACTTACGGGAAAACAAAATGATTAGAAGAAGTATCTCAATGGCCTCGCCCTTCCCTATCTGTCTGAGCTGTTACATTCTTACACAGCCTCCCGTTCCCTCAGGCCAGCTGATCAGTTGCTTCTGGAGGTGCCAAAGACAACGTGAAAGCTCAGAGGGGACCGTGCTTTCTCTGTGGCGGCTCCCAAGCTATGGAATCATCTTCGCTTGGGCATAAACCAGGCTTCTTCACTCGCTGTTTTTAAGTCCCTTCTTAAGACCCATCTTTTTTTCCTCGACTTTTGGCACAATCTGAGATGTTTCACTTTGTTTTATTGTGTCTGTATATTAATATGTATTTGATATTTGATCTTTTATATTTTAATAATTGCATTCCTATTTTATGATTGTGTACAGCACACTCATAAAATGCAATAAAATCCTGTCGGTGTATAAAGTGCTTTATAAATAAAGTTGGAATGGCATTGAGTCTGTCTACAGCAGAACAAGGGCTATTTAGATGTGAGGGTTTTTTGTTTTTTTTTACCTGGTGAAGAAATTAGTTGCAGACAGAAAAAGAAACAGACATATCTCAAACAATAGTAAGATAAAATAAAGAGAAAACAAAGAGTCATTTTGTATCGTGAGCATTTTGATTTTGATAGCTTTAGCCATGTATCTGGCTGTTAAACCGTCTGTGGCCAGCAGGGGGACGTATGTGCGCAGGAACCGCAGGGAAATGAAGCGTTTTGAGAATGTTTAAATATTTTCAAGACATCATAAAGTCATGCCACCAGTGGAGGGTTAGTTATAATATATTTATGAAGTAGTAAATTGTATGTTAACATCAAAGTTGTAGCGACAAAGTGCAACTAAATATTTTTCCAGCATCATTGATTTTAACTTCAAACACATTTCTGATTCAACCAAAACATTTCCAAAATAAGTAATGCCATTTGCCTCTTTTGAGACTAAGATCTAATATCAAAAGGAACCGCTGTTGATTGTCCCAGTTTAAATGTATTTATTAAAATACACACACACACACACACATATATATATATATATATATATATATATATATATATATATATATATATATATATATATATATATATGTATGTATACATATATATTTGTCAATTATTTGTCATTCTTGTTAAACTTTTATATATATATATATATATATATATATATAT